TGGTCGTCACCGACCAGCAGCTCTGTTTGTTTTGTTGTTTTCTCTGTCAGTGAAGATGATTCTGACACCATGTCCTACTCTGTCCTCACTCATCATTCAGAGTCATGTGGAGCTGGTCAAACTGTCACCTTTGACCCACAGCTGTGACAGACACCAGCTGTCACTCAGACCTTTTCCATCAGTTCCTTTTCTATTGGTTCTATTCCATCAGTTCTTTTCCATCGGTTCTTTTCCATCAGTTCTTTCCCATCGGTTCTTTTCCATTGGTCCTTTTCTATTGGTTCTATTCCATCAGTTCTTTTCCATCGGTTCTTTTCCATCAGTTCCTTTTCTATTGGTTCTATTCCATCGGTTCTTTTCTATCGGTTCTTTTCCATGAGTTCCTTTTCTATTGGTTCTTTTTTATCGGTTCTTTTCCATCAGTTCCTTTTCTATTGGTTCTTTTTCATCAGTTCTTTTCCATCAGTGTTCTTTTCCATCTGTTCTTTTCCATCGGTTCTTTTCCATCAGTTCCTTTTCTATTGTTCTTTTCCATCGGTTCTTTTCCATCAGTTCCTTTTCTATTGGTTCTATTCCATCGGTTCTTTTCCATCTGTTCTTTTCCATCGGTTCTTTTCCATCAGTTCCTTTTCTATTGTTCTTTTCCATCGGTTCTTTTCCATCAGTTCCTTTTCTATTGGTTCTTTTCCATCGGTTCTTTTCCATCAGTTCCTTTTCTATTGGTTCTATTCCATCAGTTCTTTTCTATCAGTTCTTTTCTATCGGTTCTTTTCCATCGGTCCTTTTCCATCAGTTCTGCATTTTTTATTCCAAACAACCAGAGGATTTTGAGGCGTCGTTATCGCACGGCCTGATGGGAAATGTTGGTTCCTGGTCCCGGGCCACATGATAGACTCCTGGAACCGACCCAGCTCAAATTACAGCCAACATTTAAACTTGTAATTAAGCCTTAACTCCGTGCCAGCCCTGGATGGTGACACTTTTACTGCCACGGTGGAGGCAGCTTTAATACCCCTGACTAATAATGATGCAGAGAAGAAGGTCAGTAATGTCTGTGTGAGAGTGACACACGTCTGTGTCACCACTGGACCAAAGTGTCCACGGCAGTCGGACCAGAACTGTGTCTGAGAACTTTGAACAAACCAGGAAAGATGGACATGTAAACGGGTGAATGTTTAGACAACTAGAAATAAAACATGGCTGATGCAGTTAATGGTTGTTACCAACAACAGGTTCAGTAATAAAGTGTCATCCATTCACTACTGTGTGAGTTTCTGAAGGCTTCGTCCACTGTACCTGTCCACTCCTGTGTCCTGTGGCTCAGGGTCAGGTCGGGGTCAGGTCAGGGTCAGGTCAGGGTCAGGTCAGGGTCAGGTTAGGGTCAGGTCAGGGAACACCCACAGTTGTAGTTATTATAATAAAATATTTCTGTTAAATAGTCCAGTGGTACAGAGGGTGTCACTGGTGTTGATAATAGTGCCACCCAGTGGTAGTCTGAGGAACTTTGTCCTGGCTCTGAGTCTTACGCAGCACTTTAGTTTAGTATTCACTCTGTGAAGTAGGCTGCAGCTGCAGCTGCTGCTGAACAGACGCGTCTCCTCTGTGCTCCTCCAAAATAACTCCTGCTGCAGGACACCTCGGAAAAACCTCGGAAAAACCTTGGATATTTCTGTCTTCCTGAATTCTGTTCAATCTTCACCTGGTTTTTTGGTTTGAGGTACCATAGGTATCACCATATACTACCATATACAGCAGTTGTTTTTCTGCTGTTGTGGTTGTTGTTGTTGTGGTTGTTGTTGTGGTTGTTGTCTCCTTCTGTTGCTGTGTCTTCACCTGTAACCAATTAAAGAGTGTTGATAAAGTTAAACAAACTACTCAAAATAGCACCACCTACAGGGAAGAAGGGGAATCCATCCATATAATAATATTATATTAATATAATACTGGTTCTAACCACAGGCGTCGTCTTGGCCTTAACGAACTCCACAGATGGAGACGATGTGTTGTGTTTCAGAGACACTGTGTAAATGTATCATCAGACTCATAAGCACCTTCCCACCCTCTCACCCTCTCACCCTCCCACCCTCTCACCCCCCCCCCCTCCCCCCCTCTCACCCTCCCACCCTCTCACCCTCACCCTCCATCTCCCCCATCTCCTCCATCTCCTCCATCTCCTCCATCTCCCCTCCCCCGTCTTGATGGGATGTGATCTTCATTCTCCTGGATGAGTTTCTCCCTAAAGGAACATCTCCTCATGTCAGTGTGATTCCACGCTGCATTAATCTGCTCACACACACACACACACACACACACAGTGTTGTGAACAGATTACACAGTGAGTAACACGTTAATGTGGCGGTGCTGATGTAGTGACGTGATGGACGTCCCATCCAGACCAGGATGTTGGACGCGTGGACCGTGGACACAGATCCACGTTTGTGTTTCTGCTTCATTACTGTTTGTGTGGATCGACTTCAGAAAGAAACGTTTTTAGAAGAATTTTAGAATGATCCTGGTGAGGGTTAGAACTTCACCTGGGACTAACCTGTGTGTGTCAGTGGTGTGTACTTGTACTTTAGGTTATACACACATTCTTGTTTATTATATTTTCACTTCTCCAGTCTGTGTTTACAGACGTGTTTCAGCAGAGCTTGTGTCGCTGCGTCATTTATATTTTTTAACACTTTCTTATTTTTTATTTTAAAGCTTCCTAATAGTTTGAAAAAAAAGAAAAAGAGATAAATCTTCAGTTAAAGAGTCCAAACTGTTGTTGGTTTTGTTCCTAATTCATCGTCAGCTCAGTCATGGTGCATCACTAACAACGACAGAGAAAATCAGGTCAGGTTTGTTAGAAAGAAGAAAGTAACCAGGAGAGATATGAGCGCTGGAGGAGATGGCGCTAGAGTGAAGGTCTGCACTGATTGGATAAGAGAGCTGAGGTGGTTTAAAGTTGACGGTGCTGTGAAGCAGTCACATTAATAAAACATGCTCATTACGATGCTGCGTCTGTGCACACCACACTGTACAGTGGCTGCTCCGGGCTTTAAGAAACCCCGCTCCGGTGCACCACCGGCTGCTGAGATCACTCACCACAGAGGGGCAGTGTTTGTACCTTACAGTCTACACCAGAGGGCGCTGCAGTCTGAAGGTTGAAATGAAAATGAAAAAAATAAATTCAACATAAAAGGATTTCCTTCGTTACTGGATGAGACCAGACCCAGGCCTCAGGCATCGAACCTCCTTCTCTTAATTGGACATGGATTAGTTTCCATTGATTTGGTCTGATTGGACCCCCGCTTCATCACTAAACGCAGCCCCCTGCTGGACCAGCCACAAACTGCAGGTCCTCCTCCACTGCACTTATTCAACAGTTCTAACACTGGGACTACAGCTACACTGGTGGGGGGAGGGGGGAGGGGGGGGGTCACATCTTCTCATGAGGTCATTGTTGGTCGATGGTGGTGAATAGTCGTATGGTGTTTTAACTTCTGTTCCAGTCACCACTGCACCACAGCACTGTGACTCTGTACACTGAAGTCTACACTGACTNCCAAAGAACACTCCTTGCATTTTAATTGCAAATACTGCTCACAGATCCCAGAGTGCACGGCTGAGGCCCAGCACACGTGCACACCAGTATCTGTGTGTGTGTGTGTGTGTGTTCAGGGCAGCAGAGGGACTTGATCTCTGCTCTCTAACTGGACACTGATGTTTGACCTCAGGTCTGCACATATTCTGATTCACTCTTCTTCAGCGTTTCTACCAGTCTGTGTGTGTGTGTGTGTGTGTGTGTGTGTGTCCACATGGTCAGATGTGGTCACTTGAATCACAGAAATGCTGGGGTCACAGTGAGCATCAAACTCCAGCCTCAGCCGGTCCTCCTGAGTCATCACCCCAGTCTGTGTGTGTGTGAACCAGAGTTAAATCCAAATCCTTCTTTATATATATCCTGGCTGTTTCCCCACCCCCACACCCCCCCCCCCCCCCCCCTCCCTCTCTCTCTCTCTCTCTGACGTGACTGACTCTTTATCTCCATCACTGCTGTTCCCCTCAAATGGTTCCAGTGTGTGTGTGTGTGTGTGTGTGTGTATTTTAATCACTGGTTGTGAGCTTCACCTCCTGTAGATCACATGTGTCCAAACTGTGGCCCGTGGTCCAGTTGTTGTACATACATACAGCTGTGACCTGGTGATAGTCATGGTTGGTTACCAGGAATGATCACTAGTACAATTCAGTTTCACTGTCGGGGGGG